CTGTTGCATTTACACAGTTCTTCTATCAAAATTACAAGTTTTTTTTTCCAATTTTAAGCCTTTTTTTCATCTGTAAATTCTTCTTCTGCATCTTAATGTGTATTTAACGAGCAGAAACTTTGTGGACAGAGTGAAGTTAAGGCTTGGAGTGCATTTCCAAATGTTCTTCGGCCTTCACTAAAAGCAGAGCAACAATTGCTTAATCTTTTGTTGTTTCTGCTTGTTTGCTATGCCGGCCTTTCTGCTGCACTTAAGTGGTTGTTGGAAAGTTTAGCCAAAAAAGAAACTCAAACATTGTAAAAAAGACTTCCTAAAGTTGCTTTGGGAATGTTTCCAAAAGGATTTGACCAAAAGAATTTTATTTGTGTGAATGTTTTATTTCTATAATGAATGGAATGGACATTGATATGTCTCGCAATTTATCTTAATTAGAAGAAAACCAATCTTTATAAAGAGCATATATCATAATTCCGTAAAAATTCAAAAAATATCCACTGGACTTGGTTTTCATAATGTTTCATCATAATGTTTAAAATACATGTTAAACTATTGTAAACCGTTTTTTCTTTCATTAATTTTAGCCTTGCTTAATTTTCGACAGTTAAATAAATTTGTCCACAAGTGAAAAATGCTGACGATTAAACAAATAAAACAAGAACAAAAAATGGAAGAAATGTTAAGTTACAGTAAAGAACTGTGATGATTTTTAGCTTGATTTTTAGCTCTGATATCTTTTTGTCTAACGGATTGTCCACCAAGCTATAGAAATATTTTTATAGATTATTTTATAGAATAGTCATAGTGATGTTCCAGTATTCAGAGTAGATCAAATCTGTTAAAAGTAGGTTAAAGATCTAGGTAGCTTTCCATAACATTCAAAAAGGTCAGGAGCAGTTATGAATCCCCAACCTGGCAGAGGTTTAAATACACTTTTAAACAATGAAACGAGTATTTCTAAAGCGAGTAGAGGATCAAGTCAGATAAAGTTTTAGACTTTTTTTCTGGTCTGTTATGCAAAAAATTTTAATCAGTGTCAGCTATTTTAGGTGGTAAATAAAGTAGTAACAGGTGCACTAAAAGGGCAAACGATGAACTGGCACTAAAAACGGGAATAGTTTTGCAGATGGCACAAACATTTTGCATCCTTAGTTGTTTCTATTTTTTGCAGATGGGTAGTTTTACTTTTTTGGCGAGAGTCAGAGGGCCTACTGGTGGCATGAGCTGAAACCTAAAGCCTCCTGAGGTCTAACAGGCAGTCCAACTCTACCAGGATCAGGTTGGCACATCAATATGTGCTATTGCCAGAAGGTGTGCTGTCTCTGCCAGCACAGTCTCATTAGCATGGGGAACATTCCGGGACGCATTCAGTTACTCTAAGATAATTGGACAGGGCTGTCAGGAGTCCTTAATCAATTAGCAGGCTCTGTGTCTGCTCCTTTGAATAAGAAGGAATAGAATGAGTGCTGGCAAAGCCCCACAAAGTGTCCTCAAGCAAACGGCTGACGGGAATGTCTCACCAAACCATTATAAACAAACTTCCCCAGGGCAACCTGAGGGTCTGACTTCCTCTAGTAGGACCTGTTCTTAGTGGAAGGCAGTGGAGAGCTGGGCTGGTATATGACTGGTGTCCTGTTCAAAGATGAAAGGAATTTCATTTAGAGATCATGTAATAGAGACAAAGAGTTCTGGAGAATCTACTGTGAGAGTTTTACTCCCTGCTGTTCAGTGATCAGTTTGGCTTCGGGTCAGTGTTGGTCTTTAAAGGCACATTTATGAAAGGAAGAAGAGCTGTGCTGGAGGTGTTGCCTTAAAATACATGTAAAGGAAGTCCTCTATTAAGGACTACTTCCACTTCTAGATTCTAGACGTTAGAGGTTTACAAAGCTATGACTTCATCCCCCAGGCTTTCTCAAAGAACTTAAAGGCATATTATTGTCATTCTATCTTAATTTCTAAATTTAAAGATTTTCTCTAGTTCTTATTATCTATATAAACTATTTGTAATCCTAACTACACTAAAAACTCGAAATGTTTTGGCTGATATTCTCAAATAATGTAAAAAAAACCCCAAAACAATAAATTTAAATCTCTTAAAAACTCAAATCTCCCCATAGTTTAAGTTTGAAAAGATGAATGTGCAATGTCTTCCACTTGTTCTGCTCATAAGCATTGAAATGGAAAAGGTCGCCTAGTTGTCTCAAGCTAAAATGTTCCTTTACTTGTGAAAAGAAATTAATTTGAGCAAAATTATATTCTGAGATTAGATAAATTTCATTTTTTATATTCATTTAAAGAATAGGGAGCTTCTGTCATATTGCTTGCTGTCTTCTGTGTGTATTGACTTGGGAATTCTATGCTACATTAATAACACTATAATATAATATTTATGGACCTTGATATTGTGATGCATTTCTTTTATTTTACTTTTATTTAACTGTCATAAAATATATTGTAACAACCTGAGGTAAAAATAAAGTGATTTTGTATGTATGTTAGATGTTTACAGCTGCAGAAAAAGAAACATCATGTATTTTTTATTTGTTTTAAAGTGACTGCAGTAGGTGAGAACTGAAGGTTTTTTATTGTTTGTCTTCAAATCTGTCAGCACAAACTCAAAGAAAAAAAACAAAAAGCAAAAATGTTGTGAAATTTGTTGGCAAAGTCTGCAGAAAGGAAAACTTTGCAATCCAATTCTGTTTAAATTATGATTTAGAAAATAAGGTGTTAGCTTCAGTCGTATGGTCATAGAATCAAAAATTTTATTTTCACCCAAGAAAATGCTCCAGCTGAATTTATCAGTTTTACTTACATTCTTATTCTGTTTTTATTTATTTTCTGATTATTTCTATCTTCCTAGTTCTAATATCTCGCTTTTTGTATCTTTTTTTTTGTATTTTTTTGTCGATTTTTCTTTTGCATTTTTTTTTTTTTTTTTTTTTTTTTTTTTTTTTATTTTTATTTTTTTTTTTTTGATCAATAAATTCAACCTTTTAATTGGAACAATATAAAGTTTTATTAAACTAAATGACTGGAAATTTTCACTTAATTCATGGAAAAGACACAAGTGGCTGTTTCCATTACTTGTGGCTCTTCACTTGTGCACCAGTAAAAGCAGTTTTTAAAAGCACTACAAGATAATTGCTTTTTAAACAAACGCACACAACTCAGGAAATACTTGAATATAAGGTTTACCTTTCATTTTTCTTCAGAGTCGTCCACTGCCTTTGCTTGTCTATTACATAAAATCTCATTAAGGTATATTAACATTTGCATTTGGGGACCTTTGTAGATTTCCAGACAGTATAGATAGTCTTTCATTGGAGGAGTTAGAAAACATAGCTTTCAGTGTTTTATCTGTTTTGTTCACCCGTGATACAAAATGGACAACAATACTGTGAGGAAGAGAATACAGATCAACTCATCATTGATCCAAATCTGACCTTTGACCAGTAAACAGTGACAGCTGTGGATCAGGAGCTCAGTGTCAACACACTGTGCAGCTAAGTTTCATGTCAGTCACGCAGACACCATTTCGACATCAAACTGATTGGATCAGCTATACGCTGTTGGATACTGTCAGTGTTGACACCTGCTTATAAAAGCCTCATACCAATTCTGAGCCACAGAGACTTGATCGATATGATGGTGTGTGTGTGTAATATGTGCTGAATGTGCATACTTCAGGTTCTTTAATGTTAAAAGTATAGTTGAGGATGTTTTTTCCAGGGGTTCATCAAAATAAGTGGTCCTCCTAATTGTCAATCATTCTGGTGATATTTTTTCGTAAGGCCATCCTATGTGCTCCTCACCATTTTCACTTACCAGTGGTGAGTCCAAAGTAGTGGAAAATTGCAAATCTGATTTTGGGAAGTAAGCTTTTATGAGTGATTCAAACAGCAACTTTTAAACAGAGCATGCAGGAGGAGAATCGGGCTCATGCTACTCTCACACGCCTTTAATTTAGTTCCCTCTCAGGAGCAGGTACAGGGTTGTGCATGTGCATTTTTTTTTTTAAGTGGAGAGGGAGGCTCTTTTGCAAAAACCCTCCAAAAAGGGAACATGAAAAACAGTGGAAAAGTACCATCCCTGAGCTAATTTGATCTAAGTGTTTATGATCAAGTCCAAAGGATGAAGTTTATCCCTTCCAAAGTGTGTGCTTTA